TCAGCCTGTGTTTGAACCTTATTTGAATTCTTTGTTTTGTTTTAGTTTTCATTCTGGGTGATAGCCATATTGCCTGCCTTTGCATCTACTCACCAATGACACAGTATCCTTCGATGAATGCTTGCTTCTTGCCTGTGTGCACAGCACTGTCAGAGAGTTATGAATTCTGTACTATGGCATTAAAAGAACAAAAGACTTATGCATAGATTGAAGTTAATAGATAGTTAAGAGTGATAAGCAGATTTAGTGTTATGGATATTTGAAAGAGGGAGAGGGAATTTCTGGCTAGATGTTGAGAGAGAATAAGGCAAGATTTTAGAAAAGATAGCATTTAACTAAGAAATTTTACTGGGCCTTGTGGAGCCACTTAAGGCTTTTGAGTTGGGAAATAAAATATCAGTAGGACAGCAGTGAGTCGGCTGGAAAAGAGAAGTCAACTCCTACAGATAGAGAGATGTCAGGAGGCTGGTGTGAAAGGGTACAGCTGTCAGAAAAATGCACTTGGTGAACCTTGCTGTGCCAGAGTGACTAAAGAACTGGGCACTTGTAGGGAAAAAAAAGGAGCAAAGTGTCCCAGAGTGTGTGGGGTGGTGGGAGAGTGGCAGTGCCCTGAATAGAACAGTGATGGCAGGAAGAGGACACAGTTTACAGAGGAAGATAATGAATTTTCCGGGACACACTGATCTCAAAAAGCCTAAAGCACATGAGGAGGTCAGGAAGTCAGGAGTGAGGGATGCAGCTCAGGGGAAGACACAAGCACTTGCTGTCTCTGAAAGGGTCTCCTTATAATTCATTTCCTGATAAAAAGCCCCCCCCCCATGCATAAATTGGGTGCCCATGTGGTTAGTTACATTAGGACTTTTCTCAAAGAGAGAAGATTCGTCACAATATATAAATTCCACAAATGAGTACAGTGAGCTAATCTTGGCTTCATTTTTAAAGTCAGGGATATTGTTCTAAAGGAGCTTCTTGGATCGTTTCTGTGCAGACTCAATAATCTTTAAGTGACATGTGAAAGTTGAGGTGATGACCTCATAAGTCCAGATGTTCCTTTCTTCTTTTTTAAGTTGAATTTTATCATATTGAATATTCCAATTGCTGAGATCATTAAAGTTATTTACAGTACTCAAAAACTTGGGAAATAGAAAAAAAAAAAAAAAAACAAGCAAAAATTACCCATAATCCAACCACCAGGAACACACGACTGTTGTGAGATGTTTTTCTACTATATGTGCAGGAGTCACACACACACACACACACACACACACACACACGTACATGTATGTATACGTGTGTACACACATGGTGCATACATACACAAAATCATTTATAAAAATGATTATATGATATATGAACACACATATTTTCTAATATGGTGGGTGGTATTTTACACTTTATTTTTTATTCAAGTTCTTTCAGTTGCCATTACTTCTGAGCATTTCCCACATAATTAAAAATGTTTTGAAAATTTTGTTTATGTGCCACATGATATTGCATTATATAAACCTCCAATACCATTAAAGCATTCACCTGTCATCTGAAAATTTGGTGGGACATGTACTTGGAGAAGATGAACTGAGATGTATCACATTCCTCCAGAATGGTGGCCTTCCCTTCTTACGAATATAGTCCCTAAGGCTGGGAGTTTTAGATGGAGTCAGGCCAGTGCTCGGTGCACAAGCCCATGAGTGGTCAGGTAGTTAAGACCTGGGGACCCAAAAGGCCTACCCACAAGACAACTACTTCTTATATCTTCCTTTTATAAAAATTCTTAAAAATCATTTGCCTATTTCACCATTCCTCACACATTCTGACACATGTCTGGATGCCAGCACACAAAAACACACACACACACAATCAAAACCTAAACATAGAGAATTTCTTCAAGTCCCTAAATCGATATTTTATCTTTTTTTTTTTTTTGTGATATGCACTTTGCCCAAGGGAAAAAAAAAAACAAAGTGTCTTGAAGGTAAACTGTAGGAAGTTTAGACAAAATTGCCTCCCATTCTGTGACAGTGTAGTGAAAGGCCAGGGCCGTGGCACCAGCCCCAGGAGAGAGCAGAGCCCATGCACACAAATATGCAATAGTAGAACTGGACAGAGCACCATTGTTTTGATATCTTTCTGTTTTCACAGGTGCCATGGAGTCATTTTATGAGTCTTCACCATGACCCATGCCATAGAAAGACAAATATAGCTACAGTTTTGCTGAATCCAGGTTGAAAGTTCCTTTTTCAAACAAAAACATAATTTCTAAATCAGTCCAAAGCAAAGCCCAACATCTTGAATTCAGTGAACTCCTCCATTTATTCCCTTCCTTTCTTCTGTTCAACTTGTCTCCTTCAATGTTACTGTCTCCATTTTAAACATCATCAGCTGATAAATCAATTGACAGAGCCCTGTAGCAGTTCATTTTAATATTGAAGATGACAAATTATAGCCATAAATTTTTTCAGGAGAGAAGGTAATGGTATGTACTTGTGCATTTAAAAATTGATATAGGCATGAATAAAGATACTAGGGTCAGGCAAAATATAACTTCAAAGTCAATTTGATTTATTTCTTGATTGACTGCCTTTAGATAGCAGCATATGTCCAAGGTTCTTCTAAGAACCTTGAGAAGTTGGTGTTCTTTAAAATATAGTCTTTTTAGAAAGACAGCTCCCTTAATTACTATATGTAGCATTATTAGAAAGCAATCACATGATTCTAACAAAAGGCAGGATTAGGCTTTCATCCAATTTCTTGTCTATCAGATGAAGGAAGAAAAGAATGGGATGTTTAACTCTAAAAACAGAAACAAAAGTTTAATATGGTATTCATTTCATGCTTGTATTAGAGCTCCATGGGATTTTGAGCATGCCCAAAGGTGGCATCCTGTTTCATGAACATTGCTATGTAAGAGTAATAAACATACATACATGCACGCATGCGCACATGCGCACACACACACACACACACACACATTTCATTGTACAAAAGAGTGCAATTACTGGGGCTGGGATTGTGGCTCAGTGGCAGAGCGCTTGCCTAGCATGTGTGAAGCTCTGGGTTTGATTCTCAGCACCACATATAAATAAATAAAACAAAGGCCTCTTGACAACTAAAAAAAATTTTTAAGAAAGAGTACATCATTAGTCATACAAATAAATACATAAAATTTAGTCATGTCAAATAAAGTATATGAACTAGTGCTCTAGTGATTTTCTTTCTTGAGAATAGATGTCTGCTTCACAACTTTGCTTTCTATTTTCTTTCAAATAAATTCATTTTCTCTCATGTATCTCCTCGAGTTCCAGCAATGTCTTCAGAGTCTCTGCAGCCTCCATGTCCCTCTTTCTTCCCTCCTTACCTTTCATGATTTCCAGTCAGTGATAGTTTTTATCCTTCTGATCCACGTATGCCCAGCCCATTCTTTGTACTCAAACACTTAGGTTTGCCAGCCATATGAAAAGAGCATACCATAGCATCCTCTATCAGAGGATGGGGTCAGAATAAAAGACTTAATTTATTTAAATAGAAGTATAAACGTTTATGTTGAATATGTGAAATACATATATGTATATGTGTGAATTCAATGAATCCCCCCATTCCCTTTCTTCCTTCAATTCAACTTGTCTCCTTCAACGTTACTGTCTCTGTTTTAAATATCATCATCTGATAAATCAATTGTCAGAGATCTACAGCAGTTCATTCTAATATTGAAGATGACAATAGATAGAGATAGATAGGTAGTAGGTAGGTAGACAGATACATAGATCTCCATCATCCATCCCAGGGATACAGACAGAATGCATGAGTTACTTCAGTAGCTCACAAGAGCAGCTTGCTGGCATTTTTCAATTGAGAAAGAAGCATCTCCGGTTTATGCCCTACCATGCTCTGTGTCTGTTTTGAGCTCTTTTCATCTCCTACTCTTGAGAGAGGCTTTGTTGCACTAACCCTCTTATCCAGATTCCATAAGTCACCAATTCTCCACAAGCTAGGAGACCAGGCCTCAGCCAGGACCCAGTCTTACCAACTGGAGGCTTTAATTGAACTGGATTTTTTAAATCTCTGATAATACTCGTCTCTGTGTCCATTGTATTTTTAAAATATCTACTAGTACTAATGACTTCTATACAGCCTGGTAATTTCATGTGTGTCCTTTAACCTCATAGAATATACTGTCATTTCTTTTGGCTCCTTTAGCCTCTATTCTGTCTCTAAACCTCACAGGTTTCCAAGGCACTAGGTATGTACTAACAACTATCACAACCACCATAACCACCACCATAAAAAACACTATATAACACATAACACTTTATAGACTCCACCCCCCGCCAAAAAAAACCTTTCATATGTATGAAAAGTTTTCATAGCTTTTTTTTTTAATGTAGTGAATTTGCTTTTGCTGATAATTAAACCTACTATGTTTAATAATTCCTCTCTTCTTTTTATGAAATATCCCAGTGGCTATTTCCCAGGTATTAGGAAAATCTTTACATCTGCCAAGAGAACAAACTTATTTGCTCATACATGCTGCAGTGTTGTCAATTCTGAGGTACATACTCATGCTTCAGTTACTTTCTCTTTCATCAGAAGTGAGACAGTAACTCTAATTGCTTGCTGAGCATCTGGAAGTACCATTAATAATGATGATGATAATAATAATGACCTCATAGGACGTATAATTTGGGGGATTAAAGAACATTTACAAGCTTATTGTGTCATAGTTAATGATGAGGTGCCAACTTTTCTTGCCACCACCCTTTCCAGTGGTATTTCCTGCTTGGATCAGAGAACTAATTTAGTAAACGGTATCCTTTTAAAGAATTTGCCCCATCCAAAAGCATATGCTAGCGCAAAGATATTGAATTGTTTTAGTGTTGTTTTTTTCAGAGACGATTTATTAATGTTGTTTTGCATTTGTATAAAAATTGTATAATGTAATCATTTAGTGTTTATTTATTGTGTGTACCTTCTACTCAGAGGGTTGGCATTATTGTTCCTAACAGTGACGGATACAAGCAGATCATGCCTTATGACCTCTACCATCCCCTTCCTCGGTACGTAAATCAATCATCCTGATGTTAGAATTAGCAAATCAGTCTTCTGATGCTTTTATATATTTGTATATATAGACAATCTAGAGAGAGATTCTGTGTTTTTCTATAAAAAATAAGATGGTAGATGGTATATTTTGCAGTCCTTCCTGAGCTCTGCTTTTGAGTAACACTGGCCTCCTCAGACCGTAACCTTGTCATTCAAAACCCCATGTTAAGATAGGATAAATCATATTACCTTGGAGTGGGCACAGTAATTCACTCTGATTACCTACATCATGTGGGTTAATGTTATGCCTTTCTTTCACTTGCTTTGCCTTTTCTATGTCTCCTTTGCAGTAGGACTCTAGTTATTAAAGCACTGTTGCTAACTATGAAACAAACACTGCTGAAAATATTATCACCACACCACCAATATAGAATTAAAGATGTGGTATTTTTCTGCATACTTGCTTTAAATGTCCTCTTTCTATTTTAAATAAATTATAATTAATCACAAAGGGCAGTTTTTCTTAACCTTATTGTTCAGAACAATTTGTGTGACTTTTTTCCCTAAGCATAAAATGTAATGTGCTATTGTTTATTTTTTAAAGTACAGTCTTTTTTCAAAAATAGAAAAAAATAATGAAAGTAAATTAAAAAATTTAAAAAGAACTTGTTATCTTTATCAGAAAAGTGGACATGCTGAAAAATATACTAGGGGACTGAGTATATTGCTTGTTGCATTGGAAACAGCTCCACAGATAGCAAAAATTAGAATTGGGTTTAAATAGATATTTGCTCTATTTTCTTTGCTTATTTGGTCCTGCTATTTAGAACCAAGAGTTAGAGTCAGATTAGAAGTAGTTAGGATAATTTACAGTAGTTTGCTAAGTCCCAAATTTAGCCAAACCTAGAAAATAATTGTATTCTAAATTGTAAAATAAAGCAAAGTTTGATCAAGGTCTCCAGATCCCTAGTGAGTTAGTATCCAAATAGCGATCCCTGGAGATCATCTAGTTTAACTCCCCAGTGATGTTTCATTCTCCTATTTTTTTCCCCAACAATTGTATCCACATACCACAGGTACATAAATACATATATTTATACAAATCCTCATTCATGTCCATTTAATGTATATGTATCCACACATATCTATACACATATAGATATTTATATAATACATATACACCAGGGCAAGTTGTCATCCAGTGTCTACTAACATACTTCAGCGACTGGCAAAAGACTCACTTTACCATCCTAACAGTAGCATCTAGGAATGTGGGATTTGATTTATTCTAGATATAGTTATTGTTGCTCAGTCCTTCTACTAAATGGCTACCTCATTAGTTAGTTTTCTCACACTTTCCTTTGACTATATTAATAAAGATAATGAATGACTTTAAATGCTCTTTGATTATCATTTTGCTGATTTGATCCAGAATTCTTCTTCTCCTTGATAATTTAATGAAAATATCCAAAGATCAATTTAATTGAACCAAGATTTCCTTTTATTACAATTTTCATATCTATAAAACAAGCATTCATAGGACACATGCATCTGCTTGTGTGAAGGTCATACATTTTAAAATAAAGGCAAAGTTGGCTGTTAAAAATGAGCAACATCAAGTTTTTGTTTTTCCTGTAATGGCAGTTTCTAGATTTCTGTCATATCTTCTATGATCTCTCTTGTTTATATTTCTCTGGCATAACTAATGCCTCTCTTAGGTTAGAGTTGATCTCTTATAGAACTGTCCTTTCCCCAAAATGCCTTAAGGCCAGTGGTACATAGAAATGATCCTTCATGTTGGTTTGTACCATGTCCTATGCACACATTTGGCAGGTCCATGTATCACAGTGGGAAAGGACAATTAGCAAATAAAATAAACAGACTATTTCTTACCCCCTTGAACTTCTGTTACTGATCTAGTTCTGAAGTTAGAAATTCTGTTTCCTGGCAAAGTACTAGTAATTGGAAGCTATTTCTACAAATGTGTTTTCATTTCATAAAAATACTTAAGTCTCAAAACCGGTTCTCAAATAGCAGCTACCCACTAATTAAGGCAGAAAGCTTTAGTAGTTTAAAGTATTTAAGTGGGTTTAAGACCACAAGTGTAGATATAAAACATTATGAATTTTTAGATTGTTATTTCCTGCTTTCAGTTTTTGACTTTATATGTATCTGAACACAAAAATGTATTCTGATAAATTATCTTGATTCATAATTGACATATTCTACTGCTCATATAAGTTTTAATTTTGAGAATTTCTTAAACTAAACACATTGTGTTTTTAAAAGAATTAAAGGCTGATGGAGTTAAAATACAAGATGTACAAACTCATTTAACATTCTTCCAGGACAAGATCCCAGGAAATGATTCTTGGATATGTCTTCTTTTATTCCAAGTCACTGTTCTAAGAGCTCCTGACTAATGCCTTCTCAGCTTTTATTATATTTTAAAATACCCAAACATATTTTGCTTTAGAGTTCCATATAACCCTATTATTATGCAAGGATTCATATGATAATGTTTCACATATAGAACTATATTTGTATGCCGAAACTATACTATTAATTCTTAAAATAATATTAGCCTCATTTCTCTTTTGGGGTTCACTGACATTGAAAAGGATACTTATTTCTATTTGTGAAGTTATACCATGATCAGGTCCAAGTGTAAGACAGAAATTAATCACTCTCCCTTTAGAAGGATCAAATTTAGGGATTTTAGAGTACCAATTAGAAAATGTGCTCTTTTATGGCATCTTAACATCCTAAGAAGTTAAATATATATATTAAAAAGCACATTCTGAATTGTCAGATCAAATCCCGTATGAATATGTACTTACTTTCATATTCAGTCTGACTTCAGTCTGACAGGCCTGCTATCCACCACCAAACGGAGGCCTTTCAGGGATTTACATGGAGACAATGAGAACTGGTCTTACCCTTTGGAATGATAAACTTTCTGCAGAGCTGCTTGCTTTATTCCCTCTCTTAAAGGGCATACTTTAAAAAGTCTCCTAAGAGTTAAACAAAGGGCCTCAGTTTCCCATAATGACATTTCTTTGGTGTCTCCTGGGTAAAAACACATAGGAAAATATTGTATTTGGCAGCATATCTCGACTATTGGCAGTGGAGATGACAATTATTGCCTAAACTTGAACAGCACAGAGAAAAGGTGGTGGAAAACCATCTTAACTGAGAAAAACACATCATTCTGGCTCCTTCAGAAGAGAAGTCAAGTTCACAACCTACATTAAACCTTACTTACAGAATAATTAAAGTTTTCCATGGAACAAACTTAACTATTCAAGTAGAACAATTGGGTGACATTTTGTTTCTCTCTCATTAAAATTATCTCTCATATTTTTAAGAGAAATTTTAAAGATCCATAGCAATCATCATCAGCAAGCAGAATACACATAAGAGAAAGAAAAGCTCATTCAATTCCAATGCTTCTGTTGTAAGAAATCCCACATTCTGTAAATCTACAGGAGAAGAGAAAAGAATTAGGTAAAGATCTCTCTCTGCCTCTGTTTCCCATACTTCAGAACTGTGTAGAGCTCTGAAAAATCAATGGAATTCTCTTAAAAGTTATTGGTAATGTTGTTATTTTCTACCTTAGTTAACTATTTCTTAGATTCAGACACCATAAGCCTTTCAATCAAACTTCGTCACTGTTCTAGGAGTTCTTTACCTGAGGAACTCTAACTGCCAGTATCCCCCAACAGTGAAAGAATAAGTAGATGAGGTTTGTATGAACAGTTTCCTCCTCAGCTTGATAATGACTCAATTTGACCATTGAAATTGTACAGAATCTTCGTGCCCAAACTGACACATACAGAAGCAAGAAGGAAGGAGCTTTTGCTTGTGTTGATCTTTTATGAGTTTCTCCTGTCAAAAGTACCCAGAAGTAATAAAATATCATCTTGAAAAAAAATTATTTTAGCTAGGCACAGTACCTATAATCCCAGCTACTCAGGAGTCTGAGACAGGAGTATTGCAAGTTAGAGGCCAGCCTCTGCAATTTAGCGACACCTGACTCAAAGTAATAAATAAAAAGAGCTGAGGATGTAGCTCAGTGGTAGAGCCCCCTTGGGTTCAATCCCCAGTTCCACAAAATAAATAAGTAAAATATAATAAAAGCATTTTGTCCAGGAGCAAACTACTGGTATGAACTTGTTATCCATCTTATTCTTGACATATGTACTTTATGAGATTTGATAAAAAATAAATAAGCTTAAATATGTATATGATATGCTATATATGTATAAATATATATGTATAAAATCTTGAAGCTATGGGAAGAAGGACTGAGGACTAAACTTCATCTCTTGAGTAGGTTACAGTCAGCACAGATATCCTGGAATCAGCTCCCTAAACAGTAATTTCTTAGTAAAGCTTCACGGTTTATGGAGCACTTTTGCCAACTTTGAATCCTTGTTTCCTATTCCTCAAATTGTAGGCAGTAGGTGTCTTTGGTTCTGTGGACCATAGCCTCTGAGACTCTCACCATCCTAGGCCCAGGGAATGGGTTGGTGTAACAGGTCACTGAGGAGCTTTGGCAATGTGCATGTCTGCCCTGATGACTCCCCTTGCTTCTGTAGGTGGGAGGCCACCCCGTGGACCGCCTGCTCCTCCTCGTGTGGGGGGGGCATCCAGAGCCGGGCAGTTTCCTGTGTGGAGGAGGACATCCAGGGGCATGTGACTTCAGTGGAAGAGTGGAAATGCATGTACACCCCTAAGATGCCCATCGTGCAGCCCTGCAACATTTTTGACTGCCCTAAATGGCTGGCACAGGAGTGGTCTCCGGTAACTGTGCCCTCTTTCTTTGTTCATTAGGAGAATAAGTCCACTCTTCCCTCTCGCCATCATGCCCCACTGGGAACCCCGTGTGGCCCTACCCTTCTCTCCAGAGCTTAGCTTCTGGAGTAGAAATGTTGTCAATTCAGCATGACCAAAAGCAAATTAATTTTTAATGTCTTTTTTTTTTTTTTTGAGCTACTTCACAGAAGCCTCCTCTGGTCCCCTCTGTTGGGGAAACCAGTGCCGTTCAAGATTCATTGAGGCTGAATGACTGATCCTAAAATCTGTGAAAGCTTCTCTGATGATAGAGCTCAGAAGACTAGAGTTTTGATTTTAAACTTTATTTATTATAATCTATTTATATCTCAAAAGAGGCTAGTGGATTAAATTAAAACTGTGTCTAATATTCATTGGAGGGTGGATAAAGTGAAAACAGTGCAATAAGGAGTATAAACTGGACTATGAAAACCAGAAAATTATAGACATTAGGAAACCTGCAATAATTAAGCCTCCTATGTTATTCTGGGTTTCCTAACTGCTCATAGAAAAGGGAAATGGCATAGGAGATAGATGTGGAACTAAATCATTGTGCCCTTATCCATAAAAATGAACAGAATTCTTTACTCAGCCTCATGGCTTTGTGGGAGCAGGTTAAAGCTGTGATGTCTTCCAGTGTCTAGACATGCAGCTAGACATGCAGAACCTTTGGGGGTGCTATCTACATCTGGCCATTGAATCTGTTCCTGTAAACATTTTTTTTTTCATCTCAATATTATCAATTAGATTGGCCATACTGCAATTTAAATTAGCCATGATGGCAGTTTAAAATTGTTTAATATCCACATGAGAGCTAGCATTTCCTATATTTTTAGACATTGCAGTCATTTGCTAAATAAAAAGCAGTGTTGGTAATTTAACTTGAGAATACTGTATTTTAGTTTCTTTTCTCCTTTTTGGTGCTTGATTTGAGACTTTGCCCACACTGGGTGCCTCAGGATTGCTGACAGATGAAACCAAACCTAAGAAATCAAAAGTGATTTAATTTTCAGCCAGCTTCCTCTCAATTAGCCAAACAGAACAAAGATCCCATGACTGGTAAAAGTGGTCTAAATCCTCCGGGAATCTTCATATAAGGAGTCCTCATATAAAAAGCCTTAGGTGCAAAGTGAAGAAAAGGAAACAAGGCTTTGCCTATGAGTCTCTTCTCTCTTGCAATCTCTTTGCAGTGCACAGTGACATGTGGCCAGGGTCTCAGATACCGTGTGGTCCTCTGCATTGACCACCGAGGAATGCACACGGGAGGCTGCAGCCCCAAAACAAAGCCCCACATAAAAGAGGAATGCATCATACCCACTCCCTGCTACAAGCCCAAAGGTAACCTGCTCTTTACTGGTCTAATTGTTGTATGTATTCAGATGCCATTTTAAACTCCTTTAAGTATCCCATTGTATTGTTAACAATGATTTTTTTTTAAACTTTACTAAATGTGCTTGATTCTTTTTTTAAACCTTTCAAATTGTTTTGATTTTAAATTTTATTAAGTACTACATAGAGCAATTTGTTTATACAATTATCTCCCAAGTCATAAAGTTGTTTGAAGACTGTTGCCAAAAAATATCAGATATGTCTGCATAAAAGGAGATCAGATTGTACAGAGATATGTGTAATTTACTGTCCACATTTCTTGCTATTAAGAGCAAAGGAGGGAATCTAATTGTGTACAAAATACCTTGGGAAGTCTCATACTTCAAACTGATGAAACAGAAAACTGTTGCTTTTATATTGGAAATTTAAACATTGAAATGAAACTGAATTCCAGAAGTATATTTTCAGTGAAAATTTCACATATATCAGAATTCAATAGATACTAGAAATAATTTATTAAAGAAATAAATTTTAGAAAAGTTCTTCTTAGTGAGCAAATTGTCTTATAGTCATACTGGGCCTTCAGCTTAACGTGAATACTAATCTGATTTTTGTGCTAGTTTTGTTACTAGTCTGTTAATGAAGCAGGAAAATCTAAAGTCACACACCATTTACATGTAAAGGATTCTTCACTATAAAACTCTTATAATTTTGAATGTTAAGTATGTTTTTCTATTCCTTTTTAAATTTATTTCTTAAGCCACTAAATGTCTGTGAAAATCAGCCATATTCTAGCTCTTTATAATACCTTTGATGTGAATGCATAGCATCATGAAATCTAAATCAATGATGTAAAAGGAAACCAAAAGCCAAACACATAGTAGAAATCCTAAAATCCTGATTACTTTTAATAATTACATCTTTCTCTGAGCCTTAGTTTCTCCATCTGTAAAATTGGGAAGGTTTTATTTTCTCTCACTCTCACTTAGAGACCATGTGAGAATAAATGAGATATAATGTACCTAGGATGCTCAGCCTGATGCCTGACATAGAGTAAATGCTCTCCAAATGTTACCTTCAACTTTTGACCATCATTAGTGTCCTCAGATATTAGAGAAATGGCCCTAGGTGAACTGATAGGACTCAAGCCAAGTGAACTGTAAAGTATTTCAAGCTCACTCTTAGTTCCAGAGTGAACCCTTGGTCAGTGAAAGGCAGGATGTTTGCACTGTCAGAGATAGCTTAATTGATCAAGCCATTTAATTGGGATAGATAGGGGAGTTGTAAAGTGATATACATACAGGTTCCATGTTGCTGGATTTCACATATTAGCAAATCCTTTTGACTTTGGCAATTTTTGTTTCTCACTTTATTTCCTGACTCAAAGCAGTAGATGTATGTAGAAGACAAGTAGCGATGCTACCTACCCCAAATGATCAATTATTTACTAGTCTTGTCTTTAGCAAGTTACTTCAGAAAAAGAAAAGTAGTTTGTCGTTAACGATCAGGGAAAAAAAATCTAGATTTTCACAACTAACCAGTGAATCTGGCTCTCTACATATTGTTAAAATACCATATAATTCTGTGGCGAGTGCATATATGGACATATTTCTTTCATCTTTACAATTATATGGTATAAAATGGTGATAGAGCTTGACTGGCTCATACTATAAAGGCGAATATGCCCATAAATGACCCTAATGAATATGTCAGGTTGGGAATCTTGGCAGTTACTTCTATAGGAGCAGTTAGAACCTCCCTACTTCTTTGTTTCCCTCCACCTTTTCCCCTAAGAAGTAGTTAGGAAGCTTGTTCTGAGTTGTTTGGCCAAAATTACATAAACAGGTGAAACAAGTCAAATTACAGGTTATGGGCTCAAAGCTGCATGTCGTCCAATTGTCAGTGAGCCCATGGTGTGGTACCGAACAAGTTAGCTAACTAAAGCAATGTTTTGTGAATTTCACAGAAGCCAAGATTGTTAGCTTTTGATAATTGGCATAGATAACACATAGCCAAAGGGCAAAAAGGAAACGAAATATTTTAATGAAAATACCACAATACAAAAATGTTGTGTTTTGTGTTTATTTTTAAAGGTATGAAACAATGTTTGATGATTCCTGATATGCATATTGAACTAGTGTTCCTAAAGCTGTGACTTTCATAATAAAAGGACTTTCCTTTGCTATTTAATGTACTAAAGGGGAACCATGTACACAGAGATTAAAATTACTAATATTTTGAAAATCCAGTTTCATTTTTCTTGATATAACCATTATGAGAAACAGCAATTCACCTAAAAGCATTAGTTGCAGTTACCAACATAGTAAGTTTTGAGGTATAGCACACAACTAAAAACTGATGAGAACAAGGAACTTCCCTGAAATCCCAGATTGGTTCTGACTGGTTCTCTTTTATGTGCATGCACTCAATTCTCAGAGAAACTTCCAGTAGAGGCCAAGCTACCGTGGTACAAGCAAGCTCAAGAGCTAGAAGAGGGAGCTGCTGTGTCAGAAGAGCCCTCGTAAGTTCTAAAGCACAAATAGTTCTTCTTTTGAAGCTTATGGGTTAAAAGAAAGCAGTGTTTCACTGTCTGTGGCTCTCGTGGGTGCTGACCCAAGTGTCATTGTCTTCTCAAAGGTGAAGTGATGTTTGACTTTTGAAAAATCAGAGATTTTTCATTTTCAAAGCATTGCTCAAAACTTTGTATTCAAATGCAATTTAGAATTTTCTTTATCTACCCTGTCTGAACCTAAGTACTGTTCAGTTTGGCCTGAAGTAAAAATGCAGTGAATTGTTTGACTTTGTCTCCAAAATCTGAGCTCTCTTCTCTTGGCAGGAGGCCAAAAGTGAGGAAGCCCAGTCGTTTGCATCTGATGATGCAACATAATTAGATATGCAAGTCTGGGCATCATTTCAGTCCCCTTATCTTTATTTCTCAGCTTTGCAGTATAGCCACTCCAAAAAAGAAAGGGCTCACCCTTTTTCACTCATGAAATATAGATGAGGGAAAGGAGAGTTTTGTAGCTTCCTTAGACCCTGATCTTTGCCCGACTTGTTCATGGTCCCATAGCTGCTCAGTCTTATCAAAGCAGGATGTTTAATAAGGCCATCAGGCATAGATTTGCCTGTAGCATCAGAAGAAGAGATAAGGAAGAAGAAAGAAAAGCAAGTTAGTTGATGGACTGATAAATTATATATTGATTTCACTAGAAAACACCGATAGGCATGTCTGCTGCCTTATTTTTACAGAAAAGGAAATATATTTTATTGGCCAATTTCAACTATGACCAAAGCAATTTCTCAGGTTGAAGATTTTCTAGATTAATTCATTTAATGTAAGTACTGGGTTCTCTGTTAGTCATGGGAACATAAGAACTGTTACCCACCCTTCAAGAGTTCATAGTATCACATTTTCGATAGGAAATGTTTTTCAAATCAACCCATAGTTTAAATTTACTAGAGATATAAATGAACACTCTAATCTGTATCATCAAATACAATTTATGATTTTCTCAGATTCATCTTGTTTGAATCTAAGCCTGATATGTTTTTTCCAGATCACAAAATAAATCTCACCCAAAACAGCAAGAGATTCAACAAGAATTTCAAAATACAGATTTGTTCAATAACTAAAGTTCATTTTAAAATAAATTGTATTAAATCACTTGATTTCACAGAAAAAAAAACAGTGCCTTTATTAAGTAATACATTTTTTTCTTTAAAAGGACAGCTAAGCAAAACAAATTATTTCTGTTCTATAAAGTTACTACAGCAACAACTTCTATTCTATGAGAAAAGCAGCTAACCAGGGCAGAACTTTGGAGGAAATACAGTGGTTAAAGATCACATAGTGCAATATTTCAATGAATATATGAAAGCTACACATTTACGTCTCTTGCTCCTGCCTTTTCCTAGTTTGACAGACCTTCTTTTTCCTGGGAGCAGCTCATTTTAGAAGGGCATTAACTCCTTCATCCACTAAGATCCTATTTAAGACACAGAAAGATGCTGTGTATTTGAAGCTGATTACTCCTTATATGTATTCTTTGTTTCAATATGTTTAAAACCAAACATGTATTATTTTTCTTAAACTATCTGCTCTCTTGTGCATTATAATTTGGCATTCGGTCTAAAACATGATCTTATCTATAACATTGCATTCTGACCCATGTTAAATAATAGAACAAAGCTGAAAATAAATGGAAACATCTTGCATCTATAATTATACTCCTTTAACATTAGTATACACATCTCAGATGAATGCTGTAACTGGAGTTTAATACTTCAGCAGAAGCATTCTGTAGACCTTGGTCACCCATTTTTTGTAATGAGTGTTTTCCACTGGTATTCTGATTAAGATGATTTATGTTTAACTTTAATCTTAATAAAATCACTGAAGTAGTTAAACACATAGTTTTATCTATTGAACTATAGCCATATATTAGACCATTTAACTTTACTCTTGGTGTAATAGAACTGCCATTATGGTATGATTGATCTGAATTGAAGTAGATTGTAGTTGGAGAGCTAGTTCAGCATAAAGGAGCTATATACAGTTATGCTCAGAACAACAGTTATTTTTATACCAAAATGAAATAAATACCAGCTGTGGAATGATGTAGTGAAAGGTATATGGTTTCCACATTTTAATAGTTTTTACATGTTTAGTGCACTGAACCCCAAGAAAGGTCCTAAGTGTTACATTTTTTAATTGATTCTGAATTTTAAAAATATAATTTTGTATGGTCTTAATTCCTTCGTTTTTAAAACCACATGGACCAGTCTCTAGATGTATGTAGTAGCCTTATATTACTCTCCAAAGTATAATGAAAAAAATGATATACTGTCAGCAGGTCATTCCTCTCACCCCCCACCCCACCACCGAAGAGACTCACATTGCTTAAATTAAATGGTAATGTTTAGAAGCTGTGGCTGTCATTTCTGAACTGCTACCCTGAAGCAGGAATAGTGATCCAGAACTATTATTTCTTGCATTAGCTCCAGAAACATTGAAGAGTTCTGTAGAAAAGCAGCAAATATCATTTATTTGCCCATATGGAAAATGAAAATATTATCAACAGCTTGTCTCATTAAATAAAACAGGAAAATCACTATGTTTAAGTCTTTAGCATATGGAGATACCCTTATGGAGTGCTAGATACTTTTAGTAACCCCAAAATATAAGAAAAAGATTGGTTAGCACTCTAGCCAAAAATATGTTGGAAAGAAACCTCTCTAAGATATGTTTAGAAGAAAACTATGATAAAGGACTAAAACAGAATTGCCAAGAAATAATTGAAACTTTATAGAAAAGAAGAATACACTGACATTGTGGTTCCACTAAACTAAACACCATGCAGAATATAAGAATACAGATATCGGTCTCCTAGAATCACTAAAATAATCTTTCAGGTTGGGTCACCTGGTGGTAAAATGCTTCTAGATTTATCATAGGAAGCTGTAGCCTAGTCTATGAGAGTGTTGTTAGATTTAGGACACATCACTTCTATGTCAGATTGAGCCCATCTGGTTCTTTCAACTGAAAAATATATGAGAATAGCTTTTAACCCCTCAAAGATTACTTTTATTTCATAGTGGGTCAAAATCACAATGTGGTAGTACATTTATATTCATTTGTCAGAAGCTAAAAGAATCATTGACAGAGTTCTCATCTCTTATTTTTTCTACCTTTAATTTCAGTCTTGGTTGAGACATGGGCACAAACATCACTGCCACTTCGAGGCCATTAAACACTTATGACCCCTGTGAAAAGTTAATTTCTTGAGGAAAAATGATAAAACAGTGATCTCCAGGGCATTTAAAGAAAATTTATTGAACAGGAAGCCATTCAGCTGGTATTCTTAAGAAGCCTATCTGATGTAGAATAGGAAGGAAATTACTCATTTCCTAACTCCTTCAGGCCACTAACACACCACCAGATGCCACGGAGGATAATTTGGTAAGAGAGACAGTCCTAGGAAAAAGGTATTACCTGGACACTTCAGGTACTCTGCCTTTCTCTTTCCAGTTAGTAGATAAAGCAGCACATCCTAGTTAGAGGAAGTGAGGACTAACTGGGCACTAAGGAAGTCAGGTTCTTTCCAGATATATTTCAGTTGCTGGAGTTCTTCAATCGTTCAGAATAAGCAATAGCATATAGCAGTCGTGTTGGGTACTATGTAGCCAACACAGCCATTTTAACCAGATATCCCCTCATCAAATAGCTGGCATTCACCAGATAGACAGCCTTACAGATGCCATCCTCTCAAAGGTAAGATTGAGTAGTCCTTGTGCCATGATCTTGCATTTTGAGCAGTCTTGATTTTCAGTCAACAGATTTGCATGGTTAAGAAATCATTTGGGAACTTCAACATAATATTCAGGCCTTAAATGTATTGCCAAAACCTTGGTATAAGCCAGGAAGAAGAAGGAGAAAAGAAGAAAAAAGAAGGAAGAAGGCGAAAAGTAAAGCAAGCAGAAGGCAGCAGTAATATCTGGATGCCAGATGGCATCAGGTTAGCAATGGGCTGATGCAATGAGAAGCAAAGGGAAGTTTCTGTCATGTATCTCTGTGAACAGAATCCACTGGGATTTAGATACAGAGAGAAGGACAAATGAGAGTCATCATAGTGATCTTACAGTCATTAAATACTCTGTTTTCCTTGTTGAAAATAGTATTTAAATGTACAATATTTAATTATATGTTTACATTAGTTCATATTTATACCTTGTAAATTGTCTGAGAATGTTGATGGCTTAACTCACTGATTAAGAATGTGAATTCATATTTTTTTAAAATGGCTAGAAATATTAACTGTGTGACATACATTTGTATTTCCCCCAAAGAACATGAAGGGGATCAAACATCAGTAATGAATCCAGATAGTGTTGCTGTTCATATTCTTAATATAAGTTACCCGAATAACGTTCTGTCCATGAGTCTCTCAAAATGGAAAATAACAAGGAATATCTCATATATGCATAGAAACAAATGTCTTGAGAATGGAGAGCCATTTATGATCAAGAAATTTAAATTGTGTTTTCAGATCATTAAACCCACAAAAAAGATGTTCCAGCAGCACAGATTTGAGCATAGGAACTATAAGACAAAAAAAAATCACAAATGCATTCAAGTTCAAGAATTGTCACAGAGTAGAATGAAGGCCTCCTGCTGGCCAGATAGAATCAGCCCTTATCCTCAAGAGTCTTGGCCTCTTTTTGAGCAGTCTTGCCTCTCACTTCCAGTTCCTGATTTCCTAGCCTCCTCCCCATCTATAGAAATCATTCTCATTCTTTATATTCTCTGAAACAGCAAACAGAGCATTTAGTATAAATTCTCTGGCTAATTATGTACTTTAGATGTTTGGAGAGGCACTGGACCTACTAATTTTTTAGACATAAATTCACTGATAAATCACCTACTCAGTGTTATGATACTGTGGCAAGTATTACAAAAGTAACACAGTACTCTTTGCCCTCAAAGAAATCTTTAGTGCTTTCTTACCATTGAAACAACAGGAT